CATGTTCATTAAATATATGACAAATATATTGCCTTCTATTAATCTTTTAAAACAAAAAGGCATTGAAAAGTAAGCTGCTTAAAACAACATTAATTAAAAAAAGAACAAGTCATCAAACAAAACAGAGCTCCTGTTTCCTAGTTAAGTATGTTAGCATTTATACTTAACTTGGAAGTTTGATTTTGTCCATTTTTCCCTTAAACACCCATTCAGAAGTGTCCATTACTAGCTCCTTTAGAATACTATTAACATTGTATCTGTGCCTTTACATTGAAGAGATTATAAAAGAGAATAGCAGATTTTGACAGGCTTAAAAGCTACATGACTTTGGTAACATTCTGCTTTGTTCTCCCGTCTCTCACTCTGACCCAGATTCCAGGACACACAGGCCAACTTAGAAGTTCAAAATCTGACCACTGATTGGAAATGCATATGACCCCTGCGGTGTTCCATGATTCCCTCTAGGCCACTCATTGCTCAGAGCAATCTAAAGTCCTTCGACTGGAGAGGTGCAGCATTTCTTCCTTCACTGTGACTCTTTTTGGAAGTGGGGCAGAAGTTGATTATTTTCAAAATGAATTCAAATTGAACATTTAATGCATAAAATTTCTTAATAAATCATAATGAAATGTTAATATTTCTTTAGTGTATACATTTCTTAAGATAGACAATAGCAGATTCCTATTTTTAAGTTTTTCCCCTCAAATTGCTCTTTATTATTATTTTTAATTCACATTCTAATTCACATGAACACACCAAAATCCTTTATTTTTTCTCTAAACAGATGTATAAATGTTATGTTTTGTATGAGGAATCTTTAAAAAATTGTATTATATTATATTCAGTAGAGATAGAAGGAGATGGAAAGAAGGTAATCACCATAGCAGAAATCAAAATCAACATTTTTTATTAGCTTCTCTAAATCATTATTTTTGCAACAAGTTAAAGGAGAGTTAAAGAATAAGACAGATATTACCATCAATAAATATGAAACCTGATTAAAAGATAGAACAAAATAAAAAAATACACATAAAATCACAAATCATAGCAATATTTGTATCTGGCAGGTAGAGTTTCTCACTGGAAGACTACTTTTCTTTGTCCCTGTTAAGACTGCTTGAATAAAAAAAAACATATTTCTACTGGAAAAAAATAGACTGCATTTAATAAGTCCCAAAAGTAGTATAGCATTCCTGCAAATAGAAAATTAAAGCACAAAGACCTGCTAAATTATATTTCCTTGAGGACTGGATCAGCAACAATTCTGCCTTATTAATGTAACTTTAAAAGTCAGGTTAAGAGTCCCAACATGCAATTTTATTCAATACCCTATATAGTAGAAATAAAATTTATTTCTACTCAGTTATGGTATTAGATACCACATGACATTATGTAACTAAATGTTTGTTTATATTGATAAAATATGGAAATATTATCTTCCTTCCACAATGAATGTTTAAGTTATAGAAAGTTACATTCCCCTAATTTCTGATAACATAAACAAAAAATTTTCTCCTTCTAGTAGCATATTAACAATGTTTAATAACATTCTGTTACAACATGTGAACATCAACAAAATCACACAAATGGGAGCATCATAAAGGAACATTTTAGGAGTCATTGATTAAGTGACAGACTTGGGAAAAATTTATTTTATTTGTGCAAAACCTATGCCCTAATTGTTGAATCAAATAGGATTGGATTAAACAAAATAGATTAATCATTTGGCAAGTATATGGTGTACTCTTTTATAACATGTACTGTTTAGTGCTCTGCCAAATGCTTTCTGTGTGAGATAGGTCCATGAGATAGTCCAGCTCTCAAGATCTGTATGATCTTATGAATAACATAGAGATCAATAGAACTATTTGGTTGCCAAATCATAAAGCATTAACAGTGGGTATTTTTGGAATCTGGGATTTCAGGTAAAGTCTTAAGAAACATTTTTTTCCATTTATTCTAACAGGGAAAAAAAGGTATTAGATCAGTCAGAAAACTGATTGGAAGAATACTAACTACCATACCCAAATATAGCATTTGAGTGGAGTTCAATGAAGAGGCTATTTATAAAGGTATGAGCAGGATTAAGGAAAACAAGGAGCAATAGAACACTCAAGAGCAAGAAACAGAAGGTGGCATTACCACTCCTAAAGGCAAGGAATGGGAACAACAGTTAAGTAGTAATAGGAAAAGTGGGAAAAGTTATAGGAAAGAACTACATATTAGGAACCTGGGGTCATAAAAAAGCAGGGGGACCAGTAGCATGGCATTACCCTCATTCCTACTGGAACCTTTTCTTGGTCAAATCCATAAGAAACTATTGAACAAGGCAGATTTTTATTGATCCATAAAGGTCAGCATCTCAGGATGGACAAAGGTGAAAAGTGAATATAGAGGAGAAAAGAGAATATTCAATGTGTATACAAATGTGGATTATGAAAGCACCATTAGATTAGGAGATCTCCCAATCTGAAATCATATAAAATATTACCTTGAGCATTTTATCATAAACAAAACAGGATTCAGATTATTTAACAATGAAAAAGAAAAATTATATTGCCAGAAGCCTAGAAGCTCTTGTGTGTCCCTCCCTGATCCTGGCCATAACCCTAAACCTGCTTTTTAAAATAATTTCTCCCTTATTCTTTCAATTTTTACTGTTTATGTACATATCCCCAAATAAAGAAGTTTAACCTTGCTTGTTCTAGAAAAGTTTATGAAGTAAATCGTAGCATGTGTATTCATTTGTGTCTGCCTTTTTGTGCTCAGCATTTTGTTTGTAAGATTCAACCATGTTATTGTGTGTAGTTATAATTTAGTCATTTTCATGTTTGTAAATCATTCAGTATTCTATAATTTATATGTTTATTTATAGACATTTGAGTTGTTTCTAGCTTTAAGCTATCATGAAAAATGCCACTCTTAACCTTTTTTGCACATATAATTTAATATTTGCATAAGTTTCCCAGAGAAATACCCAGGATATAAACCCTAGGTTCATACTTTGTCTTTTTCAGTTGATGCAAATTATTTTCTAAAGAAGTTGGAAATGTATTTTCCTACCAGGAATGCATGCAAGTTCCCATTATTTCATGTCTGAATCATTTTATTATTGTTCAATTTAAAATTTGTCAAGTTGGTGGATGTATAGAGAGATACCTCATCTTTTAATAAACATAAACTCCTAATTCTGAATGTCAAAGAATTTCTCAGTGTATTATATTATATTTAATTCTTCTTGTATCAGTTTGAGAAATCTTTCTTTACCCCCCAAATTATGAAAATGTTACTCAATATTATATCTAAATAGTGTTTGGGTTTTGCCTTTCACTAGAACTCTTTAATTAATCTGTAATTGTGTTTTGTTTATGGCATAAAATCAGTTTCCAACTTCCTTTTTTCTCTATTTTTAGACAATCAATTGTTTCCCTACTGATCTGCAGTGCTACCTCTGTCACATATCAAAACTGAAGCCTGGTTGTTTGATGAAGGATCTTACCAAAAAAAAAATATGCAAGCTATTATTACTCAATGGCAGAAGTGAGGAAACAGATTCATAAAGTATGCATCTTTCTAGCTCCAAACAACTAATATATGATACAGTCAATATTCAAATCCAGGTCTCTCTGATTCCAAAAACAAAGCTCTTACCATAACACTCCAATGAGAGAAGAGAAATCCTCTCCATTTTAGGACAAGGTTTCAGCCAACTTACCTCCTGCTAGGTTCTTGTTCTTCCTTGTATTTAGTTATAGCATATCCATTCATTTTCCTTTTTCTCATGTGACTTTCTTGGTCTTAATATCTACTTATAATAATCCCTTAATTTGAAAAAACTTTTTTTCCACATAGAAACTTCCACAATGCCCTAACTTTCTCAAGTTCTTTCTGTTACAGAACAGAAAGTCTTCATCCACCTGGCTCTAGCACAGCCAAACATTAATCACTGTGAATCACAGTGGAGAAATATTGGCTGTTTTATTGTAGAAGAATAAAAAGCTAATGCTCAAAAAACCAGGACTCCTCAATGCCATGTGGGTTACAGATTATGTAGGGCAAAATCACAAGAAACTGTAGGTTAGAGGTTCAGGGTTGTGCCTGGAGCTCATTGCTCAGTGGTAAGTTAAAGGTAATGAATCATTTCTTTGGGTCTTCAGAACAACCCTGAGGTCATTTTGGGTTTCACCCTGTAGAGTCTAATGGGAAAGTAGCCAGGGAGGTGGTTCTACCTTAGGGCTCAGGAACTGAAGAATAACTTAGGTCAAGATGTGTTTAGCCTGCATGAGGTCCCAACCCTGTGACCATTAGTCAGGTCTGGGCTGTTGTCTTCTGCTCTGCAGGGGTTGCTGATTTTCCAGGCTAAGCCTCCAAGGGGTACACATATAGAGTGAAATGATTACTAGAGCTAGGATTTAAAACTAAATTTAATCGAAGTCATAGGGCCTTTAGTTTTACTTTTCTCTAAAACTATTCTGGTTTGTTCTACTTGTGAGCTAATTAATTAAAGTCAGTATGACACTTGAAATAATTACTATATAAGTAGGAACTTATATTTAATTGTTTCCTACTATTCTCTTCCATTACCTCTATTCTCTATAATCCCATAGATACCCCAGTGGGCCCATTTATCTATTCATAAATGTCTAAGACAATATACATCACGTAGCAAGGCTTGCTCTTCTGTGCAGTTCATCCAGTTGTACTAGAATAGCTGCCTCGACACAAAAATGCTCCTCTGAGGCCAGTTTTGTACCGCCTCTATGATCCATACTACTTAGGTGGAAATAACTAAGTTGCTCTATTTTCTTTTTTTTATACTAAGTATTTATTTGAATGCTGCTCTCAGTGTATGTAAAATAATCATCCTTGTGAAATAGAAATTCATGAAAATTCAGAGAGGTAGATGTTAAGCACTGACAAAGCAGAAGTTTGTATAGTGTGGCACGTGTTACAGGAATAAGGTTTTTGTATAAGCTTCGAATTTAGCTCTCTTTGAATATTCACTGGTTCATGAAAAGTGGTTTAGAACACCTTCAAAGATTCATTTCACTACAAAAAGGAACAGACTTTCTGGGGTCTGAAGGGGTTGGTACTTGAAGATACTCCAGTCAGCAGGGGGTCATGTTGAGCATTCTGCAGACAGAATTGTTTCAAATCTGCAGCTGCCTGGGAAAACTTCATGCGGTTGGGCCCAGCCTCCAGCCGGAGCTGTTGAACCACCTTCTTCACAGCGGTGACACTGGAGGAACCAGACATGGTGCATGCAAGATAGGCCGATTTGTTGGTAGTGGGTCCGCGAGGCCAGGCGGCAGGGGAGTGAAGCCAGTTGCTCTATTTTCAAATCATGTGCTCTAAAGGTAAGCACTTGAGCCAAATGTTTTACATTACTACTAATTGCAATGATTAGACCAAGGAGTGTGCTTAATACCTAATCAAGTCTGTGGCTTTTCCTAGAGGGTTTTTTAACTTTTATTTTCATTTTTAAAATTATATTGTATTGTTTATACTATTAAAGTTGCACCAATTTTCCCCTTTTCCCCTCTCCACCCAGCTCCCCACTCTCTCAGGCAATCCCCACACCATTTTCCATATCCATTGGCCATGCATATGTCTTTTTGGCTCTTCTATTTCCTATGCAGTACTTTACATCCCCATGACTATTCTGTAACTACCAATGTGTACTTCTTAATCCCTTCAACTTTTTACCCAACCCACCCCTTTCTGGCAACCATCAAAATGTTCTCAGTATGTATGATTTCTACTTCTGTTCTGCTTATATTATTTTTCAGATTCAACTGTTGGTGGAAATTTATTGACATTATATAGTTTATATTTTTTATTTCTTCTTCTTAAAGTAGACTCTTTAAATTTCATATAATACTGTCTTGGTAGTGATGAACACCTTTAACTTTTTCTTGTCTGGGAAGCTCTTTATTTGTCCTTCAATTCTAAATGATAGTTTTGTTGGATAGAGTAATCTTGGCTGTAGACCCTTGCTTTTCATCACTTTGAATATTTCTAGCCAATCTCTTCTAGTCTGCAAAGTTACTTTTGAGAAGTCAGCTGATAGTCATGGAGCCTCATTTGGAAGTAACTAACTGCTTGCTACTTTTAAGATTCTCTCTTTGTCTTTAACCTTTAGCATTTTAATTATGATGAGTCTTGGAGTGGGACTCTTTGGGTTCTTTTTGTTTGGGTCTCTGTGCACTTCCTGGAATTGTGTGTCAATTTTCTTTACCAGGCTAGGGAAGCGTTATAGCATTGTTTTTTTTTTAATCGGTTTCCAATTTCTTGCTCTTTCTCTTCTCCTGTTTGTACCCTTATGATACAAATGTTGGCATACTTGAAGTTGCCCCAGAGGCTCCTTACACTATCTTCATTTTTGGAGTCTTTTTTTGCTTTTCAAATTGGGTGTTTTTTCTTCCTAATGTTCCAAATCGCTGATTTGATTCTCAGCATCATCTACTCTACTGTCCATTCCCTGTAAATTGTCCTTTATTTCAAGTAGTATATCCTTCATTTCTGACTGGGTCTTTTTTAAGCTTTTGAGGTCCTCACTAAGTTTCTTGAGCAGCCTGATGACCAGTGTTTTGAACTCTGCATCTAGTAGTTTGCTTGTCTTCATTTTGTTAAGTTTTTATTCTGCAGCTTTGTTCTGTTCTGTCATTTGGGCCACGTTTCTTTCTCTCCTCACTTTGGTAGCTTCACTATATTTGTTTCTACATATTAAATAAAGATGCTAAGTGTCTCAGGCTTGGTAGAGTGACCTAATGTAGCAAATGTCCTGCAGGGTCAAGTAGCACAGCTTCCTACTCAAGCTGGATGCTCAAGGTGCACCCACTGTGTGGGCTCTGTACAACCTCCTATTGTACTTGAGCCTTGATTGCTAGCCAGTTCAAAGTCAGCCACTGCCTGTATTCTGTCCTTGGTCACACAACATAAGCTACAAAGTAATCTGCAGATTGCTGCTACTTGTGTTGGGCTTGAAGATGCCCCAGAGAGACCAAGCTCTGAACCAAGTTCAGCTGTTGCTAGTGCCAGGCTTTGGCAACTTAGAAAAAGGTATGGAACTTGATGAAGCCAGATGTTGCTTGTTTGAGAGGATTTAGGAAAATCTGAAGCATGGGCCAAGACAAACAATTCATATGGAAAAGCCACTGAAAACAGTTTTGGTGGGCCTGAAAGTTGGGTGTGGCAGGACCTTTCCCTAACATTATGGTAGGGAAAGCAATGTAGGCCAGGCTGGTAGAGTCTCTGCCTGCCAGCTCTTGTGGCTCTGTGCAGGGAGGGCTCAGAAAAGGAATAAAGGCCTCAGCCAGTACTTCTGTCTGGGAGAAAGCTATCCCCCAGTTCTCATCCTGATGCTGGACAATTAATTTTCTCCCTGTACATCTCTGATACCTTTCATCTGCTGCCTTGTTGCTGGAACTCAAAGGGAGCAAGTCCCAGTAAGTCTCTGTTCAGGCATTTTAAGATGACCTGGAATTCCAACAGTTTCTATCTTTCACAGCTTCAATCCCCATGGTTTTTACATTCAGAAGTTATGGAGACTTATCTTTCTGGCACTAGGATGCTGGGCTAAGGGACCTAGTATGCACTGGGACCCCCTGTTCCTAACATATTCCTCCTGATTATTATCTGCCACACATGGGTGTGGGACCAGCCCGTTCTGTATCTCCACCCCTCCCACCAGTCTTAATATGGTCTTTTCTTTAATTCCATAATTGTAGGACTTCCATTAAACTCAATAGCTGACAGTTCTGAATGACGGTTGTTCTATAGTTTAGCTGCAATTTTGATGTGATTTTTCAAGGAGATGAGCGGTGTTTACCAATGCTGCCATCTTGACTAGAAGTGCCTAGAGTTTTTCAACTATAACTGGTGAATTCAGATTATCTTTATCTTCTAGTAAATAAACTCTAAGAATGAAAATTATAGTTTTGCATGGCTATGGGCTATAATGTGTAAAACATTTTATCAGCAGAAGAGAGAATGAAGCTTATCTGAAAAGAGAAGCGGAAATCTAGCAGAGAGAGATAATCGTATATGTTTAGTCTCTGGTTTCAGTTGCTGTGGTTTTAGAGCTGTCCTGGTTCCTTCCCTTTCAGGCACTTGCTTTTTCACCTTTTCGTTGTACCCTAGGAGCTTCCCTATAACCTTAAGCTAGTTTGTGTTAACTTTTAGATACTTGCAGCCAACACTCCTGGTGAACATACCAGTGCTCCCATCTTCTCCATTCTAATGTTCTATCATCATTATTTGTCCCTCGCATCCTTCCTCTCTTCCTCCCTTTCTTCCTCTCTCCCTCCCTTTCTTCCTCTCTTCCTTCCTTCCTTTGTATTTCTTTCTTCTTAATTTGAAAAAATACATTTAGATAACTTTTGCTACTAATGTATTGAATTAATTTACTATTTTAAGGTTGATTTGTATTTTAACACAGAGAAATGACTTAAACACAAAACACCATGACTTTTTAGTGTAATACAAAGATGTTCTGAAGTCAGATGTCCTGGTATTTGAGACCAGCTTTTCACTTACTAGCTATATCTTCTTGAAAATTGACTTGCCTCTCTGAAAAAAAAAATCACAATAACACATGTCCTGTTTACATAATCAGTTTTGAAATAGTTTGTGAACTCAATTTTAAGACTCCAAATTTCATTAGAAATGTTATTTTAAATTTTTATTTTGTGTTAGTCCTATGCTGGATTTCAAATATTAATAAATGATGAGGAACATATTTTAGAGACACTGCCTTTCTGTTTTTTTTCTAAATGTCACAATATAAGTGATTAAACCATCTTTCATTTTCCAAAGTTAGCAATGGTAACAGAAACTGATTTTGGTGCCATTGTTGAAGAGCTCAGAAAATCTGAGAGCCTAGATCGATTGGTACTGGTATTGCATCAAGGTCTGTGCTCTGAATTTATGGGACAATAACATAGATGTGTAGAATTTACACGGTATCTTGAAAATTCAAATTTAGTGTTCTACTTCAACCAAGAAATATTTATTTTATTGTATTTAGAAGAAAGATGAATAAATTGTGTATACTAAGAAAATAAAATAATTTAACACTAACTATTGACTGTATTAAAATATGATGCTCCTAAAATTAAAGGAAAACCAAATACATATTCAGATAGGAAAGTTGTGATAAGGTTTACAGAGTTCATCTGAGTCTACAATTTTTCAAATGTCTAATTTTACCTTGAGTCACAAGTATGTTCCATTTTGTGAGTGAAAGAGTAAAAATGACCTGTCCTGACACTGTCATAACACTAAAGGTTCATGAGTTGAACTCCCAAAGCCTCTTGTGACTTAATTAGCACTTTTTGTTCTCTTCTGTCAAAAACTCAAAAAGGTAATTCATGCCAGTGTGTCATTCCAGGTTATACTCATGGCACAGAATTATGCTTTCTTTGTGTTTGCAATAGTGCTTTAGAGTAATATTAGCCTTTGTTTTATTTTTCTGTTGCATTGGTGGTGACCTGGTATCTTTTATTGTTTGAATGTCAGGTGGAAATAAGGCAGGTAAGAACAGAGGAAATGAGATTAGAAAATAAAAACAGCACCACTTCTTCATAGGAGGTCAATTGTCCAGCTACAAGTGAAATCCACCAGCTGCAAGAGAACAAAGAGCTACCACATAGACCCTTAGCAAAGAGCTTTGCTTTCCCTTGAGATTCTCCAAGCAAGCTCTTAAGGTCCATTTAAGGTCCAAACTTATCACCATTCTGATGAAAGCTTTAATGGCTTTAGTCCAAAGGTATATCAATGGTCATATATGAACACAGAGACATAGTGTATGTTTACGTCTTTAATTAAATAGGTTTTGAAAATTTCCTTTTGTTAAGTTCCCACAGGTCTCAGAATCAGACATATTAGAGACATCAATTTTCTTTCATACATGCTAATCAATCACTTCAACCATTTAACAATTAATACTGACAACTACTGACATAGCAGTTCATATCACTGCAAAAGAATGACTCAAAAGAAAAAATGTATTATGCCACAGTCCAAATATTCTCTGCTTACGTGAGTGTATGTGTAAATAAATACAAAATATATATATATAGTGTATATTTTCTATGTGTCCTTCTATCTGTCTATCTATATATTTATTATATGTTAATATGGAAAATTATTAAGAACATTACACACAGCAAAGAAATTAAATAAGAAAATATAATTTTAAAATAAAAATATTTACAGATCATGTATTATAGAGCTCTACACTTGAAACCTATATG